TTTTAATTCAAACGTGAAGTCCTTTCACGTATTACGCAATGTTTTAAATATGATCAACGAACTTTTGCCGAAACTGTTCAGGGCTTAACTTAATTTTCTCAGTAGCAGTTGCTTAACGTGCTTATAGTCGTTAGCTTTTTTTCTTCTGATTCACGGGCAATTAATTGAGTTATTTCATAAGGCAATAAGACCCAACAGCTGAGAAACCCAGTTTTGTTCTTCTAACCCAATACATCGTGTCTGTCTCTCAAATAAAACTAGAATGAAAGACTTATATCCACCTTCACTTCAAATCATACTTATGCATTAATTTACTCATATCACAAATATTACATTCTACTAACATTAGAAGGAAACAGAATCATTTACATTACTACTTCTGATTTCCGCTTCTATTTTCAATTTTTCAAGTTCAAAGGTTCTTTGCTTATCTCTTTCTATAATTGCCATTTCAAAAGCTCTTTGCTTATCTTCTTTCTAAAGTTTCTAACTTTTCCTTGTCTAAACGATCATTTATAATTCTATCTTGTATTTGTTTAGTAAAGTCTTCATTATAATTTTTACTATTCAAAATCATATCTCTTAAGCCTACAATTTTAATATCAGAAGGGACATCTACATCAAGTTCCAAAGCCAGTTCTTTTAAGTCACATTTCTTGCCTCTTGCCAAATAAGCCATCTTAGACTTCAATTTTCAAATAATAATACAATAATTATGCTTAAGTTCTTTCCGTTTAATACTTAGACATAACATAAACAGTTTATAAATTCACGTACCTTTCTACTTTCAGTTTTGGCGAGCTTCCGCATTCAGTTTAGGCTTAGCGTACGTTTAAGGCCAATACGTTGTTTAAATCTAGATAATAATTCTAGTTTATCCCACTTCTGAAATGTTAGCAATTAATTAGTTCCTTTATTAAAAACACATTCCGTCAAACATTAATTGTTAGTTAATTGCTTTATTCAGAAACATTACCGTCAACATTACTGCTCAAAAACATTACAGATCAAATTATTATCGTTCTGAAAAAAAAAAAAAAAAAAAAAAAAAAAACTGTTGTTGCCAATTGTAAAAATACATTTTAAATAAAATTAATACGTTGCGTTTACATATATAATGTTTAAGAACTTTAAAGAAGTAACTACTAGAGGATTAAGAACGTTTTCAGAAGATGTAAATAACACTATACAATCTAAAGAATTAATAGGAAATGAGAATGTTAGAAGATGTAGATAACCCTAATGTTTCACTTACAGAAAGACTGTGGAATGATCTTGCAGAATTGGAAACGCTTCTTTCTATACCATATATAGCCACCAAAAAGCTACAATCTAAAGAAATAACAAAAGGCAAGACTGGAAGAATGCGATGCTTGTTCTTTCTGAAATGGAGGGTTTATTGCAGAAGGAATCATTTCTTCAATGAAGAAAAGAGAAACTAGTTGGCTAGACTATAAGATCGTGCTGGTTTCAATATATGTAGATCCAAAACGCCGAATTTTGTTGGATAACAAACAAAGTAAAAAGGCAAAGAAAATCATCTATGAACTTTCATCAAGAATGAAATTATTCTCAGAACAACTGGAGTATTCAAATCAGGACAGTCAAACTTCAGATATTGCAACTGAATCTCTATCATCCTCTTCCACTGATGAATTAGATTTTCAGAAATATTTGGATAGTATTGAAAAGGCTAAGGCAAGGCGAATGAAAATAAATAACCAACAGCCTTTAGATATAAAAATGAAAAAATGCAAACAAGATTTATGCACGGTGCCCTTTGAAGAAATAAAGACAAGACAAAACACCTCTTTTAGAACTTAAAAAATCTACCTTGAAAAGTTAAAGGAAGTAGCCCTAACAGTAGCAGCTCTTCTTCCTACTCAAGTCAGTGTGGAAAGACTCTTCTCAGTTCTGAAGTTTATCAAATCCGATCTATGGTCCTCTAACAAAGAGGATCTTGCCGAAGTTTTACTGTTTCTTAGAAATTACTAATTACAGTTCTTTCATTTCATTACAAATACTAATTAACATGAAAAATTTGCTATGCATCAATTTTTTCCTGTAGCATCTATTACTTCTTTTCTATTAAAAATAAGCTGTACCTATGTGTATATGTTTACATATATATGAAGGAGTCAAAGTCGGAGTCAGAGTTGGAGTCATTAAAATTCCAGGAGTACGAGTCCGAGTCGGTCATTTTCCCTACCGACTACACCCTGGTTAAAGTCACAGTTGCATGGCCATTTCCTACATTTCCTGAAAATGAAATGATTAGTGCAAATAATTTTCATTACTTAAGAAATTCATTGCTCAGATCTAAATAAGCTGTTAGTGTTTCTTTTTTTTTTCCAGATAGAAAGGTGCTTTGTCCCTGAATGACTATTATTTTCGTTTTGCGATTTTGCGTTGAATCACTATAAATGTTCGTTTCAAACTGCTGCCACCCAATGTTAAGAGTCCTGCATTATATTTGAAGAAATTAAATAAGGAAAAATCTGCATAAATGTACGTCTATTTCTAGCATTGTGATAAAACAACGGCACATAGAGCCATCGAATGGCGTAATCATACTGCGAATATGGGCATCTGTAACCCCAAATTTGAAATTTGGTATTTGTTTTATGATCGATTTCATATTTTGTACACCTTTAACGAATTTTTGATTCACAAACTCAAGAATTTCAAAGCGAGCCATGTCAACTTTGCACAGAAAAAACCATTTTTATCTCCAGTGCGCGAGACTGTGTATCAGAAATTCTAAAGATATGCTGAATTTAAAACTATTTTGCGATCTTGCCCTCGAACTGAATTTATGGTTTAAGTTCGAAGAACATGATATTTAATAAATAAAAGTAACAGACAAAATGTTAAAAAACGCCCCCATTGGACATAATTTAAAATGAGTGTGCGAACGGGTTCACAATAAATTGAATGCATAAATATGGTAAAAGGTAAATAAAATTTATTCTTATCACAGGAAATGTAACAAAACGCTGGAATTTTCCTTAGAGATATTGGTACAAGTGTTCACAATAATAGGAAGTAATAACAAGTACAACACAAATACGTTAAACAAAACGCAATAGAACCAGTAGCTATACTTTAAACTACTAAAAACGTTAAAATACCACGCAGATCAAAGAGAAAGAGAAAACTAATTTTAATATCTCCGTTCGCGCGGAACTAAAACAAATCGCAATAACAGTAACTAAACTACTGAGCTGAGATGTCTCTTTCCGGCTTTTTATAGCTTTTAATCGGTCGCGAGAACTTTCCTGATAATTTATTTGCTTCTCGAGATTTCTGGAAAGCAAAAGAGTAGAATTGCGGTTACAGCTAACACAGTAGTCAATTATATTTATTCAAATTAAACATAAATTATCGAGATAAACTTATACTCCATGTTAAATGCACATGCTCCTGTATTTTTACTTTTTCGGCACAGCTTTCTCTTAAAACTCGTCTTGCGCTGCATTGCATGGAGAAATAAAATGATTTTAATTATAATTCTACTAGCATTAGCTATCTAAATACAAAATTTGCAACAATACATTTTATGAATAATTAATTTGGGAGGGAAGTTAAATTGCATGTAGTAAACTATTTCTTACTAAATATGAATTGCATTTTAAATATATTGCATATATGGATACTGTGACAGTAAATTAAAGTTACATTACCAGTAATGGTAACAATTATTCCAACAAACTTTGAAGGAATTACAGCGTTAAAAGTAATCTTGCTGATTTTAAAAACTAGTACACATCATATGGCTGAAAAATTCAAGAACTATTTGGCCACTGTTTGAAAACATCTTATTTCATGCTGCAATCGTACCCTGTGAATCTTTGAGAAATGGTTTAAAAAAATGAACTTATGTAAGACATATATTTAACTGAAAATCGAACTAATTCTTCATTCCTGAAATTTCAGTAAACACAATAATTTCAAGATAACATATAGATAATAAACAAGATCAAAAAATAATTCGACATTTATGAAATTAGGAACGAAAAATTCTTAGATTAGGGCAGATTTATGTAAATTCTATTGATTTCGAAGGGGATCTAACACAGGTCTCTCTTCTTTAGGATCAAACAAAGTTTAAAGTCAAAAACTACAAAGATCTGTTTTCATACTTCTAATTAGTTATGAAATTATATATCTGTTTTCTGCAAGAAGTTATAGAAATTATGTAAAATTTTTCAGTTACTATCAAAGACGGATTTAGTTTACAAATCACTCTAAAACAAAGAATAGGATGACAATTATTTACTCGCCCCTGCTTCTCTTTTCGTACCTAAGCAGAGGTAATATAGTACGAAATAATCTGTTTTCGTACCTAAGCAGAGGTAATATAGTACGAAATAATCTGGTGATCTTATTCTAATATCTCTCATAATATGACTCTTAATAGAAACTAAGTGCTAGCTGAAAATTCGAGCATGAAAATACAGCTGTTAGTTCTTAAAAGGTACGTCGACGTAACTTATTTAGTTTTATACAAAATATATAAATTTTTTTTTTTTTCATTAAAACGTTATAAATATATAAATTTTCCAGTTCATGAACGTTATAACTTAACGTAAATGAGAAAAATTGTTTTACTTTCCATGATTCTGTCCCTTACCATTAATTGACGTTAACTAGCAAATGTAACAATATTTTTTTTTCTATTGATTTAATAAGTTTGTAATATTATCTGAAAACAATGACAACAGTCTTTGTTCACCCGTCAATGCATCTGTAGAATGCTGTCTTATTTCAAAGTCATTAAAGTGTATCATCTCATTTTAGAAGTCATTAAATCAGCAATACTTAAATAGCATGTCAAAAAATGAAATATTCAATCGAATTTCTTTCTAGTTCTCAGTAATATTTCATATACTGTTTGGTAATTACGTAACATAAAGAAAGACATGTAGCTCTATATTCGAAAGTTTCTAGTCAAAACGGTTTTATTTTAAAAGTTTAAATGCCCGTCATATTTCTTCCAGGTTTAACATGGGACAAGGCAGTAAATAAGTGTCCAGAAAATGTGTATCCTGCATGTGATAATGCTTCAGATTCTGTCACTATTTCTGGATTGAAAGAACCCGTGGAGAAGTTTGTTGAGCAGTTGAAAAGCGAAAACATTTTCGCTCGTGTCGTCGATGCCTATGGCTATGCTTTCCATTGCAAATTGGTGTGTCCAGCAAAGACAATTTTATATGCTGCCTTGGAGAAAGTAAGCTCATTTTCAAAAATCTATACATTGTATTTTTCTTCTTCTCTCTGTTAACAATTCATTCCATAACTGACGTATAATTTCACTGTCTGAAAAGTTTCATTTTACATATTTTCATTATCTTGAGCTTATTATGCGTTTAGAAATATTTAGAATTTATTTAGTTCCATAAAAGCAAATATTGCAGAGGATGTTTGCATATTTTTAGAACGATTTTAAAGAATAAATATATAATTTAAAAAAAGTAAATGTTTTGGAATAAAACTTTCTAGCAGCAACTTATTATTTGAAATGAGAAATATCATCTGCTATTTTTAAATTTATTTTACTTTCGAAATGTCCCGTGTAAGCAAACTGTGGATTTAAGGAATGCTCTTCGAAAGAGAAATATTATTATTACATAATTCAAAAGCGTTTTAAAATTCAAGAATTAACATTTCGAAGTGCAAAATAAGTAACATTATTAAACGGTAGGGAAAAAACCGTCAGTCGTCACTTCTACATGGGACTAGCCGAATAGCCGTAAAAGGAACATTATGTTTATAAGGTTAAATCGTTTTTAACAAGAGGATTCCTGCCGCCACAGAATTCTATCGTAAAGGCTTTAAATAAATATGTATCAAAAAAGCTAAATCAATAAATAAAAGAATATTTACAACTTAAAAAAGCTAGCAACCAGAATGTTCATCACCTTTTGCCGAAGAGTGTGGCTCAACATGGAACAGCTTGTTAGAACCTTGTAGGAAGACTGTTTAGCAGGAAATAACTGGAAACACATTGTGAGCTTGATGAAGCATAGATTTATCTAAACAATTACAACAACAACAACAAATCTGATGTGTGCACCACATGACTTCCTTGTACGGAATATTAAATTATACCCATTTTTTATTGCATTTCATTATTGGATTGAATTAATTGGTTTGAATTGATTGAATTATCTTATTGGATTGAATTAAATCTACTTCGTCGATAGCGCGTAAACCACAATAGAATAAATGCACTCTTTAAAATTCACTATATGTGTTTACCACAGCGACACTCTGGCGCTAGGTTCACTTAACAGCGTTATATTTCGTCCATATTATAACTCAGAATGCACAAAATTTATATCATTTGAAGAATTATCTAATCATTGCCACATGTTCTATTCAAATTGTATAATAGATCTAGAACGATGTATAAAAGAAATTAAGCAAACAAAACAAAAGAAACAGTTTTTCATAGACGATTGAGTATTTCTCATTCAATTCGTAATTTACTAAGAATCAAATTTCATTTGTTCGTTTACGTTGCAGAGTATTTATGCTTATCAGGATATTATCTTATTATGTTTAGTCCAAATGGGGAGCCAGACCAGAAGTCCTATCGATCTGAAACGGCATTTTGCGTTGAATCATTAAAGCATTATATCATTTTTCAAACTGTGGCCACCACTCCCTGTATTATATGCCCTCAGGGTGCATGTGCAGATCCTGACCTATGGAATGCAACTTTTAATTCCATTCTCAAAGGACTGTGGCCAACCCACACAAAGGTGATTGCTTTTGCTGATGACGCGACATTTATCATCAAAGGCAAATCGAGAGACCAGCTGGAAAGTAACAGTAATGAGACCATAGCACAATTTGTACGGCTCTGTGAAGGCAAATAACTCACCATCTCGGAGCAAAAGTCAAAGTATTTGATCGTACACAAACCAGGTCAAACTCTTGCAAGAAATCCAGTTTTGAAACTAAAGGGCCATACAATCAAACGAACTCGGGAACTAAAACTGCTGGGGCTTATAATCGATGAAAAGCTCTCCTGGCTGCCTCATCTCAGAGCAGTCCGCGCGAGGACACACGCAATTGCAAATACCTTGAGGCTTCAATTCTCAGACTGGGCCTGAGACCACATATCCTAAAAATCCTCTATCAGTCCGTCGTGGAAAAAATGGCCCTCTATGGAGCGGCAATCTGGGCAACTCCAATGAACGAAAGGAAAAGGAAATTGCTCAGTAGTATACAACGCCCCTTGGCTTTGGCTATTACAAAAGGATACCGTACATCATCGACAGCGGCAGCCACAATACTGGTGGGACTTTTGCCATTACATATTAGAGCAGCACAAGAAGTAGCAGTAACGACTGTTCTCCAATTACATCTCTGCACTACTTTTGGACCGCTATGCTATGATCCAGAGGAGTATGAAACAAAACGTCTCATAAATGCAACCCATCCTTCACACCATGGAAAAGGGGCTGTAGCACACACCACCTCTCAGCACAGCCTCCATGAAAACATAAGGCCAGTAAATGTCATGCATTTGTCTAACTATGGAAAAGGAGTCTCGGCCCACACATCATGGAAAGATGACTCTGAGATAAAGGATCAATATTATGTTTATACGGATGGTTCCAAAGTTGACGGACAAGTAGGCTGTGGCCTTATAGTAACTAAGAACAAGGAAACGCTGATAACATGGAAAGGTCATTTGGGACAGAATAATTCAGTTTTCCAGCCTGAAGCAATTGCGATTCGCAAAGCTATCGAGTTAACAAGCCCCCCAATAGGATCCACTATTAATATTCTTACAGACAGCCTCTCGGTCATATATGTCTTACGAAATCCCAGACATCCTTCTTCTATCATAGCGGAGATTCAGAACACGCTGAAGGAGCGTTCGACGACAATGAATATCCTCATATCTTGGATAAAGGCACATGCCGGCATTCAAGGTAATGAGGAAGGAAGTCGACAGGCTAGCAAAAGAAAGCAGCTCACAATAATCGATGCAACAATGCGTAATTACCAAACTCCTGTGGTCTCACCTTAAAAAAGCGACAAGGACAGCAGCTCAGCACCAGTGGCAATGGGAATGGGACTCTACGAACCGAACAAAGCAGGAAGACCTATGAATATTACCATAAAGTTTCACTCGATCGTCTCGAGTCTTCCCCACAAAATAACGAGATTTGTGACGGGGGCACGGGCCTTTCCCCTCCTATTACTATGAGAGAGGAATTGCAAATATCGAAAGTTGTGTCTGTGGAGGCATTGGTAAACCAGACCATTACTTGACCCAATGCCCTCTAACCGCACAGTGGCATGTGTAGCTTCCGGAACAGGCAACTTCTCATAAGCATTATCTGATCAAACAGCCAGCATTTCGCATCAAAATATGCAAGATAATGCAGAAACTGGAGGAATTGGGAACAGATTTGTGCAGTGTGGAGTAGTTCCGTGTCAATCTCTCTTCTCTCTCTCTTCTATCTTTTTTTTATTATTATTATTTTTTAAATTTTTATTGTATATATTATGAAACATGTATGTATTACGGCCCACTGTATATATTATGAAACATGTATGTACTATGGCCAATGAAAATTATTATGAACTATGTATCTATTATGTAACAGGCTCTTATGAACTATGTATCTATTATATATTATGAACTATGTAAGCAAGTATGAACTATGTAAGCAACTATGTACTATGTAAGCATGTATATGTATGAACTATGTAAGCAAGTATTATGAAAGATCTATGCATTATGAACTACTTGTATATAAGCAAGTACAATGAACTATGTAACTATGTAAACATATATTATGAACTATGTAACTATAAGCATATGTTATGAACTATGTAAGCATGCATACAGGACCAATGTATGCCCTTATAACCCCCATGAGGTGTTGCCCCGGATAGTTGCGGAACCTGGACTAGACCCGAATAGTCTTAGTAAGCCGCACGGGTGTCCAGATTCTGCTCTCAACTCAACTCCCTCTATTATATTTAAAGAAATGAAGCAACGAAGAACTCGCATGAATGTACGTGTGTTTTCTGCTTTGTAAAAAAGGTCACAGTGCATAGATCCATTTAATTGTGAACAACGTAGTCTTCCACCCGAATATGAACATCTGCAAGCCCGAATTTGGAATTTGTTTTATTGCCTGTTTCATATTTTGTGAAACTATGACAAACTTTCGATTAACAAACTCAACGATTTCAAAGCGAGCAATGACAATACTGTACGGGAAAAAAAAATTATTTCCAGCGCGCGACACTGTCTGTCGAAAATTCTAAAGATATGCTGTTTTTAAATATTTTCAACCCTAAGGGTCATTAGCTCAAATGCTCTCGAAACGTGTATGTGTGGTGTAAATAGAAATAACGCCTCTTTGGGCATAATATAAAATCTGACAGCTTTCTTCTTTTTTTTTTTTTTAAATTTTAATTTCTTATCTTTATTCTCAACTCTACTTTTTTGGGGGCTAATCGAAGCTGTTAACCGAATTTCTTTGGTTAATGTATATACGATCAACGCTGTCATCGAAAAAGAAGAGCTTTTCACAGCTACCACTGACCTCCTTTCAAACCACTTTCGCCTAGCTTTACTGGCTTTAGTCTTTGCTAGGTTTTTGCTAGCTGTGTTTGCTTGCATGACTGGAGAGTCAGTCGCCATGTGAATTTGCATAATTTAATTATTTCAGTTTTATACTAACTCTCCTTTTCTGTTAAATCTGCAAGAAGCAGTAATTTTGTTCTGTTAGTTACACAAGCTGTGCAAATTGTTAAGTTTCAATAACAAAGCTTATTTTAAACCTTCTTCTGAATTCGGAACTAATTACTCACTTGAAGATTAAGACTGCTTGATAAGTTATAAGGTATTTCTCCCGCCTTCTTAGCATGCCTTCGTAGTGCTCATTTTTCATCACTCCTCCTTTAAAAATAACCTAATGATTCTACAAAGTCACCTGATTGTCTACACGTAGCCAGATTTTAGCTCTGAAATACATAAGTTCAGTACAAAGTTAATCTCTTCAGTGAGCGTAGCATAATTTTCAGGAACCTGGTATTAAATAATCGACCGAAAGAATACTCGCATCATAATCGCATGTTGCTCTTTGCCTCGTATATGTAACATCGTTATCGAATGTTGCTTTTAACCCATTATAGCAAAGTACTCGTTGGTTATCTACCTAAGGACAGGAAAGATTTCTTAAAGCAATCTAACACGTTTCCATGCGGAAAAAAATCGCCTAAACCTCAGGCAGCTAGTCCACTCGACGGGAAGCGTCGTACCTATCGCCTATCTTGATCACTGAAGAATTAAGTCATTACGAACCATAATCTTTAATACTGTCATATATCCGTAATACTAATTATTAACAATTATATGAAATATTCAAGATAAAGAATCAAATTTACTTTTAAAAGATTTGAGTTTCTCTGATTGCAAAATATTTTCTTCTTACGCTGTATGCACAATCATACTGTTGTCACACAATCACAACAGTGCCGGACGTGAGAATTACTATACTGAAAAACACATTTAGCGAAGACGGATATCTTTTTTCGGATTATCTAGGGAAGCCTGGGAATGGCGTCGATTCAGCAGGGCCAAAAAAAAAAAAAAAAAAAAAAAAAAAAAAAAATTTCAGATATTCCGTCATGGAATTGGCTGGTAAAAGTGGATTTGGCAGTTGCTTTGGATTTCCGTTATTATCCGCTGCGTTACGTCAAACTGTATAAAAGGCGTTTTGGGGTAGCAAGAGGTTTTTATCTCTATGCAGGTGATTCAGCAATTATCTTAAGATGCAGATGTGATGATTTGTCGTTTAGCTGCCGGAATAGTTCCTAAATGCAGTTGCCAGTCCTCGGTCACCACTAGGGTGCTTGCGGTACACTGCATAATGGCGCGACTCCATGTGGTAGCTGGTGTTGATTGCGTTTATTAAGGTTGAGTATTAGTGCATAGAAAGAAAAAATACGTACAATATAAATCTGAGTTCTGTTACAATACATAACAACCATGAAGTGAGAGAAGTTCTATTACAGTACATAACAACCATGAAGGCATGGAAACGATTATTATAGGTTTTTATTCTCATAATGTGAGGATCTTCTTAGCGGTAACAATCTCTCTAGTCGAGAGTTTAAGAGCATTCTGGGCTCTTGTCTTGTCTAAAATAGTTCGAATGAAACTGAATTAGTCGCTCCCTCATGTTTTTTCGGTTATATTTACGTCCTCTGCTTCGTTATAGTTGAAACGATATTAGAACAACAGGATCATTGGTCCATCAGCTTCTCTGAAATCGAGAGGATTTGGTGATAGACACATTGCAAATCGCTAAAATCCCTTGGCACTGACCATGAAGTTATGATGCTTGTAATGTCAAATGGAACCGTAACTGAACGAATTATTTCTTCTGGAATATGAGACCCTATCGTATCACACCTGGTAACAGCTCAAACACTGCGACCTATGGGAGACCGCAAGTATCAATCTCTTATTTTTGTGGGTCCGGCGCAGTCATCACCTTTTAGTGCGGGCGCCACTTATAGTCATTAGATTTATGGATGCAGGAGACAGGAAAAATGTGCAGTGTCCATCCCGGGAATCGAATACCGGACCTCCCGATTACATGTCGGACGTGCTTCCAGTTACACCATAAAGGCATGCGAAAAGGAGGGAGAAAATGCTTTGTGCACAATTTCTGCTTACGCTATTTCTGTCGTGAAAGTTTTACTTCGATAAAACTGTATGCACGTTTCACAGGGTACAACATTCTCGATATCATTCAGTATAGTTTGCAGAAATGCTTTAAATCTGCTGTATCACTCTGCGTTAATATGAAGTGGTAGGTTTAGAAAATCAATTACGTAATATAGCATGAGATAATAATTGTCATTCTTATGATACATATTTAACTTAATAAATGGTTTGAGTAAATTATTTTTTAAGTAAAATGTATTGTCAAAAAAGCTGTTAAAATATTAAGAAATTGTGCATCTATGTCTAATTCTTTTACAATTTAATAAAGCTAACAATATTTTTAAACTGTTTATATTTTATATTAGTAAGCATCCCCCCCGATTCTTTATCGAATCAAATAATGCTTCAAAGTAAAATCACCAGCCAAGTACCTGGGTTCTTTCCAACGTTCAATCCTTGTTTCAGACGCCAGTGACTGTCTCGATGACTATTCAATAATCTATCGCAGATTGTTTTTGATTACTCTCATTTCCGAAAACATTACTTATAAACGTAAACAATGATTAGCTAAGTGCGTTCACGCTATACAGACCTTTTTGTCTCCGCCCTTCTTTTTTCTTTGGCCTTTTTTTTTTCGCTTTTCTGAATCATATTAACCAACATTATAATGCTGGAAATAATGACTAAATTAATAATAACCAACGTAAACAATAATTAAAGTAGGCAACTCATGCCTTAAAGCTTATTCATTCTATAATATCTTAAAGCTAGCATCGAAACAGTTCACAGATTCGTAAATTTTGATCATAATAATGAGAGTTATAATATCCTATAAATGGAATCTTAAAATTCACAATTTTATACGTATAAAAATATCTTATTATCCAAAATAAAATTTTTTAAATTTAAGATTCCATCTCAAATTTTTACAAATCGTCACCATTCAGAGGTTCAAAATAAAGAATAATTAAATTTAGTATTTTTATATTTCCATTGTTCTCATAATGAGTTACTGTTTTTGTGGGTTACAGTTCGCATAAATATTGTGAATAAACATGCCAGAAGAGCAAAAATAATTAACCAAAAAGTAGTAAAATGAAAAAGATCTGAAAGGTTTCAAATTTTATATTATGCCCGAAGAACGGTTTTTTTTTTTTTTTTTTTTTTTTTTTTTTCTTTTTCTCCATTTACACATACTTGCACGTTAAGAGAGCACTTAAGTTAAAAAGATTTAAAAACAGCATATCTTTAGAATTTTCAGTAGACAATCTCCCGCGCTGGATATAAAAATATTTTATTGCACACAGTGTGTTGTCACTGCTCGCTTTGAAATCGTTAATCAGAAATTCGTTAAAATTTTAAAAATATGAAATAGCTAATAAAGCAAATTAAAATCCGAGCTTTCAGATGCCCATATTCGGATGGAGGACTATATTATTCAAAGTTTGATAGCTCTAGGTACCGCTGTTGAGAAATATACATACATTCATACAGATTCTTCATTATTTCATTTATTTACATATAATATAGGGCGATAATGTTTGGTGGCAACAATTTGAAAAGTGAAACAGCCGTTTATAGTGAGTGATACGACGCAAAATTCCGTTTCATAGCCATTCTGGGCTAACACCCCTTTGGACTAAAATTTTGGAAACAATTTTTACAACTTTAAAGTAGTAACAATTTTTTATGCGAATATATCCGGATCAAATCCAGGTATCGTCCTCATCCATATGCTTTCATTAATTCACATCCGTAATGTAAATTATGTAGCAAATATTAAAAAGTATGGCAACTCTAACACTGTAAACGTGATCAGTTGATTGCTTCGACGCCATAGACATATTTTTCTCTTCCCCTTTTCTAACATAAGATTATTCTAAGCACCAAACTTAAACAATTCTATTATATTTACAGCTTATTCCTGATCCGAAACCCCGAACAGAGCGGTGGATTAGTTCTAGTTTTTCAGAAGAAGAGTGGGACTTACCAGAATGCAAGATGGCGGGTCCGGAATATTTTATTCATAACCTCACTTCCAGTGTGCGTTTCAAAGATGCATTAAGCAAGATACCTTCCGATGCCATCACTATCGAAATCGGACCACATTTCTTACTTCAAGCTATACTTAAAAGGGCTATTGGCTCTAATGCTGCTTATATCGGTTTGATGAAACGAAAAGAAGAAAACAACCTGAACTTTCTCTTAGAATCACTGGGAAAGTATGTGACTGAAATTATTACTTTTTATGCTGTTATTTTTTATTTATATGTGTGAGAATGCCTTATAAAGAAATATCATCTTGAATTATATAGAATATGATATATTTATTAAATATTTTAAATTGTTTTTAGCCGCAGCAAAATATGCAATAAATACTGCGTTTACTCGAAAATAAGATACTTTCGAATGTAATATCTTCCCTATATTTTAGGATAAATTTTGAAACACTTTTTTTCAATGGTGGACTTTAATAGCAGTTTATAGGCGTGGGCCACCACTAAGGCCGGAAGCGTTGTTCTCTTTATTTTGGAGGTACCTAATAAGTTGCAGCACAGACGGTATAGTGGTTAGGGGAGCCACTACGGTACCAAAGAGCGTGGGTTCGAATTCCGGAGAAGACCCTGATGTTTGTAAATGTATAGTGTCTTTGCGTCACGGGGACACTCTAAATACAGGCGAGTCGAAAGTCCTCTCATGTGGATGGGTGGGAGAGAGACCCTCCGAGGTGCTATCACTCAAAAATTGGTGTAGAAATACTCCAAATTCCTTGAGGCTCTGGCAACCATTCTTCCAAGAAATTCATGGTCAAGACAACAGCAACCTAATAAGTGGGCCGCCATAGCCTCCTATGAAGGAATGGACAAATTACATCCATGCCTTCTCCGGGATTCGAACCCGAGCCCTCCGGTACGGCAGTCAGAATGATTAGCCACATTTCCGTCTAAGTGGCCAATCTTCTCTACATATAATAAAAGAAAGAGTCTGTCTGTGTGTGTGTCTTTCGTTCGCGCTGCGCGTAAGCTAATAGACTCACGGGTACGAAATTTGGTACATAGGTGCGTCTAAACAAGAGCCAGTGCACCTCGTAGCGTTTTTTTCGAAATTCGAATGAGAATTTTTTTTATTTTATGTTTTGTGATAAAATCGCGTCATTTTGAGACATAATGGGCTATAGGAAAGCAAGATTTTACTCTACACACTCCATTTTCACATCGTCATGAAATGTAAGCACTTAGCTATTTTACGAACTTAAAATAAATTTCGTGTTTCAATCATGGACCTTATAAGAAATAGACTAACCCAAACGGGTTTTCTCCCTCGTCTGAGGCGTTGCCAGCTGTCACCTTGATCACATCCGGAGGAGTAGGGACGACATGCAGAAATTTAACATTGGTTGCCTATTGCAGCGTGTATAATTGTCAAGAAAAAGCTGTCTGTAGCGCCCCATTTCCCAAATTAGAATTTCTACATATTTTTAATTTTGAAATTGAGATTGATTTTTAAAAATTTAGCATATTTATCAAGCATAATGAACGTTCCAAATAATTATAAAGCAATTGCCTGCTTTCAGGACTGGATATTTTTTTAGTTTTTCCTACGCTGTAAGGAAATTTATAACTACTTCTTTTAGAAAATAATATTTTAAATCTGAACTAATAGAAAATTTTCAAACAAGCAAATTTCTCTTGCAATTTTATGCTTTTTATTGGTGTAAATAAGTAAAAAAATACTAAAATATTTAAAAATGAATTTTTGAAACTTTTGTTTAAAATTCTAAATTGTGCTGCTTTTTTAAAATTATAGATGAGTATTATAGCACATTTTATAAAAGGAATTTTAATTCAACTATATTTCATAATACATCATAGTGATAAACACCTTTTACGCCTTAAAAATTTTTATACATTTAATTATAATATTAAAATTGGAAATAATTAATTTTGCTTGCATTTTATAGTGATTTAATTTTTTTTTTAGTTCAGCGTAAGACTTTTTTTATTTACTGTTAATTTAATTTATTATCCCAAAGGGGCGGTAGCCTAGAAAGGCTGTTAATTTCGAAGCGGCATTTTGCGCTGTTTTACTATAAATGTCCGTGCCTCCTTGCAAATTGTTGTTACCAAATATTATCTTCCTGTATTATATGTAAAGAAATTAAATAATGAAGAATCTGCATGAATACATGTCTGTTTCTCGCACTGTGACAAAAGCGACAGTATCTAGAGCCATCAAATTTTGAATAATGTAATCCTCCACCCCAACATGGGCATCTGGACGGCCGAATTTCGAATTTATTTTAAGCGATTTCAAATTTTGTAGAACTTTAACGAATTTTTGATTAACAAACTCAACGAGTTCTGAGCGAGCACTGTACGGAAAATAACAGTTTTATCTCCAGTGCGGAAATTCTAAAGATATGCTGTTTTCAAATGTATGTGGTTTACGGGCGAAGAACATGATATTCAATAAATATAGGTAACACACAAAACATTAAAAAAAGAGTGCTTCTAGATTTTATTTTATCTTTCCTTTTCCTTCATTACGCTCAGAAAATGTTATGCTCCGAATTTTATGAATTATTAAAATAACTAATCCACTTTAATGTTAATAATTTAATGATCATATAATCAAATAAACATGATCGCTTTGTAATGTTATTATAGGTTGGAAAATCACCGCCTGAAAATGTTCTTTAAATTAAAAAAAAATTATCAGATCTTGTTTAATTTTACCTTATTTATTTCAAAGCATCAATTTTATTTAATTTTACTTTATTTTTACGCAAAATTAAGTTCATAAATTTTGTGCTTAGAGATTTTACCGTTTGTACAAGAATTACGCGTGAAAAAAAATGCGCGAACTGCAGCAAAAAGTGCTTTAATGAGATATATTAAATCCTATTTGGAAAAAACTGTGGCTTTCATAATCTCATCACTTTATAACGTGACATTTAATAATTAAAAAGAGTTATGTGATACAAACGCCATAGGTTTCAGTGTTAAAGTAAACCAGATCGACTCTTTCTTGCCGACATGTCGGTGACGCGCGCCCCGCCCACTGGGTTAGTCTATCTTTTATAAGGTCCATGGTTTCAATAAATCGATTAAATACGAATTTATTTAACAAAGTGAGCTTAACACCTTTTCAACGGAATTTTTTCTAAAAACGTTTATGTTTAAAAATGTACAGTTTATTATTCTTTGATTTTTGGACACATTAAACTTTCATCCTTGCGACTGTTTTTACAAAAAGAATTCGGAAAAAATGATAATATTTTGTATTTAAAAAAAAATTTAAATGAAGCTTCCGAGTACACTTCTCACATCTTTAAAAATGTGATTTTGGCAACAATTTTCCTTTCTTATCGTTGTTGTTAGATTTGTGATGAAATCGGATCATTTTGAATAGTTTCATTCTTTTAGAAATATGGGTTTGGCAAAAATTTTTCATCGTATTTTTTATGTCACTGTTTTTAAGAGATTGGCATATTTCATTGTCATTTATATATATATATATATATATATATATATATATATATATACATATAATACATTTTTATTGATTTTTCTTGATAAAGTTGTTCCGCAGAGTAAAATTCTGCGCGGAATTTTATGTTGAGTTGCTTTCATGTTATTTTCTGCTTATTTCACTGTTTGTAAGATATGAAAAGTTTTGCATGATTTTTTTTCTTCAACGGAAAGTTGGTTAATTTCTTATTAGGATAATTAATATTTGTATTAAGGGACATAGCTTATTTCAAGGAAACAAAGTTCTTAACCTCCTTTATACCATTTGAGTTCTTAAGATTTTGCAAAGGGAAGTTGGTTAATTTATTTATTAATATAATTAATATTTGTATTAAGGGATATTGCTTATTTCATTGTAATTTTGTTATATATAATAACTTTTTTTATGAAGTTGTTCTGCAGAGTAAAATTCTACGCAGTTTTTAAATTTAACGTTTGGTGTTCCCTTCAGTCATTTTTCTGGTACATTTAAAAGCCAGACGAAGGCTGGCAGCGAAGCTGCTAGTTTTGAAACAAAAAACTTATATTTGACGATAGCAGCAATGATTTTAATTAGAATGAAAGGTAAGGTATTGAATCAAATGCAATATTTTACTATTATTATATGTAGTAAAAGTTATCGATACACTGTTGCCTATTTGTCTTCCGGCGCGCCGACGACCAGTATAATGGATGCAGATCTAAATGAAACTATTTCAGCCAGATTCGGCTATAACAATTATTGATAGTTATGCAATTTATATATACGTTATCTATGTTGTTTATTTAGTATTTAAGCGACATAATTTGTGATAATTAAATTCCTTCAACTGACACTGAGATTTCATTTATAAAAATATCCTTTTACAAAAGCTTACCAAAAATGTAGCAAAATTTTCGAGTGGTAAATAGAATAGTACAAATACACTTTTCAATGTAATTTAATTTTTAAACATTTACTAAACATTTAAAGTATCCTACTATGTCCGGCATCCAAATGTTGGAAAGTAATACAAATAAATCTATTATCGGTGTTTTATAGCATTGTACAACTTAAAAGTGATAAAAACAGGTGATAAACGCATTACCAAATTATAATTTTTTTCTTACATTTTGAGTTAAGAATATGTTATATTTCACGATTATTAAATATGTTCCCACAAAAATACTTATGAATATTTTTCATTTATATTTGTCACTTATATTAAGATATAAGGAATTAAATGGACTAAAATCGAAGTGATAAAATAAATGTCCATGAAATATAACTATTTGAGTATGCGAAACTAGTTATTTTTCGAGAAATGTCTCTTTTTTATTCACAAAATTGTCTGAAAAAATTTTAGATACGTAGATAAAACTAAACTTTTAGTCCATTTAATTCATAATATTTCATAGAATATTTGTGCAAAGTTTCATAAAGTTATTATAGTAATATTTAAGTTCGTATGTTTTAAGTTCATTAAGTTTTTTTCGCAACCGAAAGTTGAAAAAAATCAAGTTTTTCGAAAAACAGGTTTAATGTAATGCAAACACAAGTAAAGGAAAAGAAAATGCTGCCAAGTATGATAATTAAATTTCAGAACTAATCTTGTGTCCGAGCACGCAATAACAAATAGAAAGTTTTAAAAAATCATCTTTTCAACATCACCACAATTTTTTCAAATGAAATAAATCTCATTTTAAAGTTTGAGTTGTCTGTGTACCTTTAGACATTAGCTTCCAGATTCTTAAACATAAACTTCCGGCTCAGGGCGCAGAACAAGAACAGCCATAATTCTGCTTCTAACGACCGAAGAGACAAAACAAAAGTAGTTTGTGGAAGCTTTAAAATAAAATAATAACAAGTTTTTTTAAAAATACCGTCAAAATTGACGATTAGAAAACGTAGTCGGATATCTTTTAAGGTCTACTTCCTTCAAAGCAAATGTTCACGTTTTAATTTTTAAGTAATGAATTATAAAGAAGAGGAATACTTTTATAATCTAATATTTGATAATATAATAGAATCCATATATATATAAATGAAATACCACTGACTCATCACGAGATCTCTGAAACTATACATCCGATCGACTTAAAATTTTGTTCACTTTGTAGACGCGCACTAAGAACGGATTTTACGTAAATCCTGTCAAAATGGATTTTTGTTATACAGCAGAAGTTTCTCCTACATTTGGTTTTCAAATCCAAGTTTAGAACTTTCTTTTATTGTTGCCAAAACTAGATATGAAATACAATGTTGCCGATGAATGCATTTTCCTTTAAAATTTTTTAATTTTACATTTCTAAATAACTTGCATCTATCCAGTGAATACAAACAACATTTAAATGATAAAATTACTAATAACATTTATATTTAACTGTTATCATAAGTTTCATGAAAATAAATATTATTATTAAGAGAAATAAAATTATTGTAACGAAAATTAAAAGTGCTTTTGTTGTTTATAGAAATCGCAATACATAAAAAAATCAAGGACAAATAATTATAATTGATTAAAAATTTGATAACAAAGACAATAATTTTTTTCCATGAAACTTATGACAACAGTTAAATATGTATAAATCTTAGTTTTATAGGTTGGCAATTTTTCGTGGTGTAGGCCTACTGAGGATCCCATCACGTTAAAATATTGGGGACGGATTCCAATACACAGTACCTGATGGGTGTTGTGGAAATCTGTGTATGACAGATTCACTGACTGGCACTATATTTCCCGACTTTAAATTCAAAAAATTTACATTAATTATCAATTCAAAATTAGACATTTCGTCCATATAAGGAGTTTAGGTTTCCTTTCAAATAGATAGTATGCCCAGCAAAGCTGGCGTGTATCAGTTAATAAATAAATAAAACGGCTGAGAAACAAAGCATTTTATTGGGTTATTTTGATGTCAGTGTGGGTCTTTTGTGTCTTCCTCAGCATTACAGAAAAAACTTCGTTAGAACAAAAGACAAGCAGAAAAATTAAACAGGTTCTCTATTCCAATTATGAAAATATTAAATTTCTCGACAACTGATCCCTTTAAAGTAAAACGTTTTGTAAAAATGTTTTATAGAAGCTTAATATTTTATTTTAAATGTTTCTTCGCAAGACTACAGCCATTTGTAATTTTTTATGCTGCAGATTATATCTAGAAGGTCTAGATCCCAAAATCGAGAGACTTTATCCCCCTGTGAAATTTCCTGTGCCGAGATGTACTCCAATGCTTTCAGATTTAATCAAGTGGAACCATTCTCATTCTTTCTCTGTACCGAAGTGGGCGCCTTCATCTACAACTTTTATTCATGGATTTGATTTACAGAATGCAGATAGCTATCTGATGGATCACAAGCTGGATGGAAGATCTTTGTTTCCGGCTACGGGTTACATATACTTGGCCTGGAAAGCTTTAGCGGAGAAGCATAAAAAATCAATAGACGAGATCCCAGTCGTAATTGAAAATTTTAAAATTAGAAGAGCCACAGTTTTGAATCCATCAAGTAAGTATATTCAACCTTCTACTTTTTGATTATCTGACATTCATTCGCGTCATATCTAACATTAAACTACTGACATTGATCCAGTCTTACCGAATTAAACTACATCACTCGAAAATGTAGAATTCATACGTTTCATAAGTTTCAAGTGAATCTTTTTATTAAAATATTCAGCGTAGTTTTGACTAGTCAAATTTCAATCAAGATAATAGATACGAATGTTAAGCATAGCTCATAACACGGTTTGAGAAAGCATGATAGGTAAGCGTCCAGTTATTCAATACAATAACGAACATAAACTAACCAAATGCAAATATCACCCACAACATATTTGATATGAATTTTAGAGGAACCCACATATTGTATTTTAAAAAGAATGATACACTGCGAAAAACATGGGACAGTTCTATAGTATGTCTGTCATAAGAAAAGCTCTCGCCAGGTAGTCTGCAGTTGTCTGTTGCCGTAGAAAGGAGCCTTGACTTATTTTCCGTAGAGGTGCCTTGAAAATTTACTTTTCAGTTTGTCATCTTGGCGCATTTAAAGAAAAACTAGCAACCCTTGGTTCGGCCCTATTTGAAATAGCCCCTGTTGCTATAGCGACCGCCACCCGCGAGACACTGGCAGGAGATTCTCGTAGACAGACAGTATATCGCCCGTTCTATTGGGTCGATTGACGAAATTCAAATTGCGTTTTCCATATCTCGAAAGCGCGACTTCGGATATATATTTGATTTATATACAACTTTGTTCTAACATAGGAATTTTGACATAAAATTGGACTTTTTTTTTCTGAAATAACATACCAATTGTGTGTGTGTGCAGTGTACGTGAAATTTGTACTTATTTCCCTTCTAAGAACTTCACTTTATCTTCCTCAAATCTACTTACTTACATTTTTTAATTACTTTTTCTTGCCCTTTATAAGAAAATACATAAGAACACAAAAAATATCAAGTGTTTTCTGAAATTTACTAAATAAATTAATTAATTCCTAGATAAAGAATACCTAATCCAAAGTATTAAAATACCTCTTCTTGTATGAAACAAAAAATATTAAAATGTGATACAAAAATTTAATTTGTGACTTTCTGATGTAACTGGAAAGCAGGTCCGGCTAGCACTCGGGAGTTCTGGGAATGGAATACTTCAAAGCGACTGCACATGTTCACGTCTCCTGCTAGTTTAGGGCATAGTCCAGCCCTCCTAACGCGCGAAACTCGTCTTATGACTCCATGGAAGTAGGAAAAGAAAGAGTGGACAGCTGGGCACTAAGAGTGAAGCACTGCTCCGAATCTTCGGTCTCCAAATGGGGTGTTTTTAGTTTACATTCAGAAACTCCCTTGACAGCGCTTCGACAGTATTTTGACACACGACGGTTCCATACAAATCGAAAAACGGGACATTTCCGCATAGAAACATTCATTGTCTGATGGATAATAGCAATTTGTACAGTTTAGTGATATTTAAGCTAAAATCACATCTTAGTTATTTTTCGATAACTAACAACAGCAATTTTGATTATGAATTTGTTTTATAAAATTCTAAGCTGTTGATGATGATGATGATGATGATGTCGGGTCTATGACAAAGTGCAACTATATAGCTCCGAAGTTGTCAAAGACAGCTTTTGAGACATCGGCAGCTCTGTTAGTATAAAGTACTAGGTCCACTGTGTCTTCAATGCCGATGTTAAACAGTCTGGCCTGGATTGCTGGGCAGCTGAAGATGTCATGGCGAGACAGTGGTATGTCATCTGGCAATGGACAAATGTGGGTAATACGCTGTCTGTCTGCAGAAATCCTCATCCCTTAAGTGATTGTCAAGCTGTTAGTAGTCGTAGCTCTGTCACAGTAATTCCGGATGAGTTCCTTTAATGACGATAATCTTTAAACAAAAACACGCCGAAAATACTAATTCAGAAGTCAAACAACAAAAATCAGCGTTATATTTACAAAATTTTCACAGGACTAGTTTCGATGGTTTTACCGAACCATCATCTTCAGCTGCAAAACCGCAAATGAACAAGATAGGAAATAATGATTAGATAAGATAAGAAAGCCTGGACAAGAATAAGCAAGTGGCGCCATCTGTTGGCGAAACCAGAACTAAAACATAATTTCTCTAAAAGCCGAAGGCAAATTTGGATTGGAATTAGGATCGTAACTAGAACAGAAAGATTTTTATGAATGTGAAATGCCTCTAGAAAATCCAGTTCTCCAATGGAAGATGTTTTTTGAATAATTTTGGCAGCAGAAAAATTGAAAGTGTGATTTTCGGACCAACAATGTTGAGCAACAGAAGACTTCTGTGTTTCCTTTTTTCTAACATATGCCTCATGTTCTTTGACGCGAAATTTTAAGGCTCTCTTAGTTTGGCCAATGTAAATTAAACCACACTGGCAAGGAATCCTATAAATACCCCAGGAATTCATATCCGGAATGGGGTCCTTGAGTATAGAAGTTGGAATTTTATTGATGGGAGAATAAACAACCCGAAAGTTAAATTTCTGCAAAATATGTGCAACTTTATAGCTAATTGATGGAAAGAAGGGAATGACAACAGAATTTTTATAATCTCCTAAAATAAGAGTGTGGCTTTTAGTGTGTTGAGATGAGAATTTTTTAACTGCTTGATTAATAATGTTGGGTGAAAAGCCCCTGTCAATAGCTATTGCTTTTAAATAATTTAGTTCTTCATCAAGGGCTAGTTTGGAGGAGCAAACTTGAAGAAAAAAAAACTAACTTTGTTTAGTCGGATGACATGATTTAAAGTGTGGTGGAAGGCAAACCGATGAAGGTTTAGTAACTTTTGTAGAAAAAAAAATATATGCATTTATATGTATATTTTCGACGTAATTACAAAATATACATCCGATCGTGTCGAAACCCATTGAACTCAATGGTAAATGACCCAATGTTTTGGTCACCAAAGAAGGGAACGCCAGTGCTTCAAAGCAGTGTATGGGGGAAACCGGTTAGGGCCACTCCATCTTACGTCCTACCTCCATGTATGACTCAAAGAGCTGAGATCAGATCACACCACAAATGGCAGCTTTCAGAGACCCGGCTGCGTTGAAAAAACTAACATAAATGCGTATAAGTAACATAACGCTCCCGAGAAGCCAGGCTCCAACACAGAGTAACGTAAAATGACCAATGGGTATCTGTTATCATGCCAGCAACTGTACCTGATTTGTCAAAGTAATCTGAGATTTCCTTTTTTTTCTGTGAAATCTGCTGATGGTCCTAGATTCTTTCTGGGTAGCAGTCATGATTAGAAAGGATTTTATTTACTGCATTATTACCTAATTTGGCTTTAATTATTACTTTACGAAATGATCCAGGATAACTACTTGACTTTAGAACTCCCAAAGAGCGTTTTTGGTTAATCTGCAATATTGATAGTGGATATCTTGAAAGTGGGTATCAATGTGTATTAGCCTATTTTTAAATTTCTTAAATATTTCAGTGTATGCATTATCTCAACAAATCTTTATTTTGAAAGTGTCTTTAGTTGAATCTTAAAAATGTATGTATAGTAATCTACATTACATTGCACTGTCATACATTTATCTTTCACGCGATATGTTAGAGGAAGCCCACTTGAGGCGTATTCGAAAGGTCCGGAGTTCGAACCCCGGCGACGCCAAAGCTACCCCCGTTCTCTTCTAAAACATGCCAGACCAAGGTGCTGGCCAATAATTGACCTTTCCGTGGCCTCCAAAACCGCTAAGGGTTCATAACTTTTATACCTCCGTGGTCGAGACTGCTTAGGTACAGATCCTAGCCAGTGGCTTTGCAGATTTCTCTACGTCGACCCCCGGGGAACGCGAGACTAGGTACTAAAAAATTTTACAATCCTTTTTCAGATGGTACCTCGTGGTCACTGAAGGTAGTCTTCTTAGAAAAGGAGAGGTAGAATTCTGTACTGGTGTTTATTTACGTGGGCTGAAATGCTGGTCACTTGGAAATATGGGCAGTTTTCTGAACTTCAGTAGTTGTATGTTGGCTTCAAAAAGACTATTTTATTTCGACAAGCATCATTACTCTTCAGACTTCTCATCTAACAACAATTGCACATGTCGATACTCTTTTTAATTTCTCCAAACTGCATTTGGAAATAGGCCGGAAGTAGACTATACAAGACTATTATATTTGGAATCATTCTCCAAAATTACGCAATTAATAATAATGGTCGTTCCGAAAGTTCAACTCTTCAGTTTGTACTCGAAAATATATTTCAAAATAATCAGCCGCGTTTAAAGTTGTACATATGTTTATTTATTATAAATAGCCTGCCACTGATTTCGACCCAGTGAATTCAACTTGAGTCAATAGGAAATCTCTGTATATTGGAAAGAGATATATAAATTTCAGATTTGCTAGTCTATCGTCTGGATGCTGCTCCAAAGTAAATGTTGTCTTGAAAGATATCTGTATTAACAACATGTATATATTTTCACGTCCAATAACTGCTATTAGGTGATGAACTGAACCATACCCTGATTAGGGTCTTGAGGTAGTTTTTTGTACTTTACTCTGAAGTAACGTAGTTCTTAAAAATTCACATTTTTAAGACTTCGTTTCAAATTCTATAAATTTGTTAGATAATTTAGCGATAAATTTTTGTTTCCAGACGTTATCAAAAATAGCCTTTTAACAGATGAAAAAAACTTTAATAGTCCTTGCTCTGTTTGTTGTTTTTTTGTTCTTAATTGGTCTTTTGTGTTGATAGAAGAATAAACTTGATCTATGGAGATGTGTTTTTCTTTTAAACCTAAACAAATTTGGAAGTAGGTGCTTAGTATGTAGATGAAAAGACAGTCTTCCAGGAATGAATTTTCAAGAAGGTTTTACTAGGCATGCAAGTACTTTCCTGATGTTACTTCGAGAATAAGGTTCTCTACTTGATATCTGTTTTGTGCACTTAGTATTGATACGTAAGCTGTGAAGATAAAAAAGCTCTTATCTCCACGACGTAAGCTGATAATACGTTAGAATTGCATATTGTGCTGAAAATTATATACATCTAAATTACGCCTCTTAAACTAGTGAGAATGTCCATTATGTATTTTTAAATGCATTCGAAATGCTGAACATTCCTAAGGTCCACCAAGGAAAGAATTTCAGTGCTAATAAGGATTCTGTATTCGTAGAATGTAAAAAAAAATTAAATGTAAAAGAGGGTTATTTTAATATCACACCGCAGAACAAAAGGCATATAGAATTGATCACGTGATGTCCTTTTCTTGTGTAGACGTGTGATTTATTCTGTAACTTGTACTTTTTATTCGTTTTTAAATCACCATTTTATTAGCTTCTATTTCCAATTTTTTTCCACAGCTGGGTATTTCGCGCATAAATATATTCATTACGAAACGCTTAACTAAAACTCACCATATCTGATTTTTTTTCCCACGAAAGAGAGAGTTAAAGTACAGCCACTGGAAATCGGTGAGTCGTTATATAAGGCCAACAAAGTTTAAGATATTCTTCAAACTGTGCAGTAAAATGCTTATCATTGTAACATATGCTTGTTCCTTAATAATGCTTAATTGTTTCTTAGAATCCAAAGTATTTTTAATAAAACATGCCTTTTGGAAATATATTATAAAAATAGAGGATGCAAACAAAACTATGTTCAGATGATTATAGGCCACTTGAGGTCTGAAATCTTTTTAGTAAGTGTACTTTGTTTTATTTTATATTCAACAATAAGCTGTTACGAAGAGTAAAATTAAATTATTATAGCTTAAAAGTTTCCAAACTACAATATCTTTTATATCCTCTTACTTTAGATAAAGTGTTAACTTCAGAAAAGCGGACACTCTTCAAAGTGTTAATGTTTTACTTGATTAAAGGAGTGCTTCAATTTTCGCTAGTTTGAATTTTAATCAAATAACAGAACACTTTTTGAATTGATTTTACTTTTATTTCAGAGATTATGAAATTCGAAATTAACTTGCTGGATATAAGCGGTAATTTCGAAATCATGGAAGGCCAATCTCTTGTTGCTTTCGGTAAGGTATATGTTCCTCCAAATCCAGAAATAATTGATGTTTCACCGGATCTTGGAGAGACATCTCGTCTTCCAGGAGAACAAGTATACAACGAGCTCAAACTCCGTGGATACGAATACGGCCCTGAATTCAGAGGAGTTATGGAAATGAATATTGACGGTAATATTTCGTATATCCCATTATTTTCTTGTGTATGTTTGACTTTATCAAGTAAATTAAAGTAAAATTAATTAGCTCTTTGATAATTTAAGATGTAAATTCACGTTTTTAATTTAAAATAAATAACATTCTTAAAGTGTCGATTTTGCTATTCATTCGATTTCATTCGAGATTCGAGGGCTGTTTAACTATAAGACTTTCTAATGGACTGGTTGGCGTGAATTTATGTTATAACTGGGATCATAATTTTGACCCACAGTATAAATTGCTATTGCTATGAGACTTAAGCATTGGTTAAATTCTTAACTTCTATCCAAATTATTCAAATTTACAACATTTTTTTGTTTTCGCAATCATATTCAAATATTCAATACTACGCATTAAGCCTTCTTTAAACATAAGTAAAAACTGCATAGAGATATGCAGCACTAAACTGATCCCATTAGAAGAAAAGTATTTACTTAGTGCCATTACCATTTACAAGTTCTCTATTTTACGAACATTTTTAGCAATTCATTACGAGCTCATAATAGGAGAGTCCACCGCAGGTATTTTAACAAAGAAAATGAAGGAACCTTCCAACCCCAAAGCAGTGGTCAGTAAACCTCCCTTCATCCACAGATAAATTATTTAAAAAGATCATAAGAAGGAAAAACATCACATTCAAAATACTGGCGTCATTAGCCCGAAACTTTCTTCCAAGAAAATCTACCGAATCAGCTTCTCAAAGAAACTATAAGGCTCACCAGCGGCCGAGCGGTAAAGTCGCTGAACACTGGTAGTTCGGTCCGAGGTTCGAATCCCGCGAACGGGCTGGCTGCATGGGTGTTTTCGTGGTTTTCCCCATGTGTAACGTGTATACGAGCCAGTTTCTCTTAGAAAGTCCTCCACGAAAGGCATCCCTCCCCTTTGGCAGATAGCCCTAGTGTGCTTTGCCGTAATTAAATACACCACACCACACCAAAGAAACTATAAAAGAAAAATAAAAAAAAAATTTCTAAAACATTTCATAATTTAAAACTAAAAAATTTCATACTCAAATGTAGTCTTTTATTGGGATGACATCCGACATAAGATCTTTTTATAGCCCAAACATAACTCATCCGGTTCGAGTATTTTTATTGAATCTTTGAAAGAAATACATTTATGTAAGTCATTTTATTACATTCCTTGGGACATGTTACATTTTTATTGATTCGAAAAAAATGTGTAATTTTTAGATTGATATTTAACGGAGTCAAATAGTCAGCAGTGTATATACAATATGTAATTAGTCAATAGTCCATAGACATTAGATAATGAACGCTTAATACTGGGTTTTGCTCTCTTTTTCTCTGAAGTGGAATACGAAAAGAAGACACGAAGCTTTGGTATCTCCACTTGAACTTGCACTGGAATATTGTTTTGGAGAATAGAAGCTCGAGTTCCTTAATGGTGGCATTTAATTTGCTATAGTGAATATAAGGTTCCTGAAGTAATGATAAGTCTGTAGATGGCTGTTGAAAAGTTTGAATGATGTTAGTAGTTCCAGGCTTAGATTTTAGCATGTTGCACTTTAATAATTTTAGGGATTTTGAGTTATTTGGCATTAAAACATTGTTTTTAATGTTAATCTACGCTATCTACCAATAAGTATTTAGGCACCTGTGATAGAAAACAAAAACAAAATTTATTAATATTCAATAGTCGATAGAGCTCCACGAGCGGAAATTGCAACCTCAACGCTTCAGGACATGCTTTCCACCAGTCTTTGTATGGTATTTTCTTCCATTCGGCTTTTGAGAAGACATGTAAATTCCTTCACCGATGTTGGACGGCTGTTGCTCCCCTTAATTCTGCGATCCAATCCGTCCCAGATGTTCTCGATAGGGTTCAGTTCTGGGCTTTGGACAGGCCAGTTCATTCGGTTAAACCAATTGGCACTATGCGAATCCACGGTGGATTCGTATAGTGCGAATTGGGTAACATGGCTCCTGAAAGTAACATGCTCCAACACGTAAAACTGTCACTACATAAGAAGCATATTGTCATCCAAAATAGTGCAGTAGGCATCAAGCTTACCCTGAATTCTGATCAAGAGTCTCAGTCCATACCAGGAGGGCTTATGGGTGGCAGCCACGACCATGAAAACCATGCAAATGTGCTTCCTTACGAACGGTATTCATCGAGACAATATTTAAAAATGCCTGTTGAAACTCCTTGAGTATGCAAGCCATCGGCTGGGTGAGATTCTTCCGAATTTATCTAAATAGAACCCTTCGGTATATATCAGCTTCATGAGTCTGCCTCTTCGAGGCACATTCCGACAATCACCAATCATCTTCCACTTCTGAATCGCATAGGCCACTTTCAATTTTAGGCAGTTCAGCTTGCAAATATACCCCTTAAGGTCCGGCCATTTCTGTGATCTCGACGGTTACACCTTTCTCAAAATCAGATAACTCTGCACTTCGTAGCATCTGGTATGCGACTAATGCCAATATTGTTCCTTACACGATATTTTACGGCAGAGGGCGTGACGTATACCAGGACCACAGATATCGTCATTTACTTGGGTGTAGAAATACTTATTGGTAGAGAGTATTATAGTGCCAAACATGTACTAATATTCTCTACTACAGTTTTGCTGCGTTGCTTTGTATGTACGACAGTCTCGTGAGCTGGCTGGATGATCAATGGCGTAAATGGATTCTTTCTGTTGATTTCAATGTAAACAGCTGATGTATTTGGCTGCTTCCTGGCATGATTTGTATGAATGGCAACCTAAGCACTGCACGCAGACAGATGATGCTTTACAATTACAACTTTGTATATTTCCAATATCCTGGCAGTTGTAACACTGTGTTATCTTTGTATAGTTTCGGTAGATGCTGGAGTTAAAGTTTATATGTTACGAACCTCACGACCATTTGCCTCAGCATGATTTGTATTCAATTCAATGATTCAGTTCTTCTTTCCGTCTAATCTGTGAATTAGGTGAATTACATCTAAAGAGGGAACTGGATTGTATAGTTACTGAACGCCTGCATATGTTCTTGTGTTTGCAAGTAATCCCGGACTCCAAAGTCTACAATCTTTTCTCTCAGCGGATAATAGTTAATAATACGCTGAGTATTATTATATCTGTCCCCTAGTAATTCTTGATTCACGTATCAATATTTCCTTTTTAAGATTTTTCTTTTCTTCAATAATATTTTCCACAAATTACATATGACCTCTGTTTTCGAAGAGAAAAAAGAATATAAAACAAGCAAATCTACAACCCAGTATTCGGCATAGATTTTTGTAAAATCCCAATCGATTTCGAGGTCAAAATGGGTTCCCCCTCCATCAGAAGCAAAAAATTCTGCAAAAGCGAGAAAGCGAATGTCGATCATATTTATACCCTACAGGCGAGCAGTGGGAGAGCCAATAGCGCTATCTGTCGGGAGAAGTAGTAAAGAAAAAATAAAGGGTTGAGTTAATAGAATTTTAAAAGCATTAGGCAAGATTGGATTGGAATTAAAGTCATTGACTAAACAGGATAAATTTTGTGAATACGAAAAGCTTCAAGAAAATCCAATTTCCTAATAGAACCAGCTTTCTGCATAATTTTAGCAGAACCCAAATCAAAATTGTGATTGAATTTCCAACTATGATTAGCTATTGAAGATTTGTTAATTTCGCCTTCTCGGACGTAAGATTCATGTTCCTTTATGCGAAACTTTAATGCTCTTTTTGTTTCGCCTTTATAACCTAAGCCACACTGTCACGATATGCTATAAATTCCCCAAGAATTAAAGTCAGAAATGGAATCTTTAAGAACTGAGCCTCGGATTTTACTTATAGGCGAGAAAACAACTTGAGAATTAAATTTGTGTAAAATGCGTGTAATTTTGTAACTGATAACAGGGTGAAATTGAAGTACAACAAGGTTATTAATGTTATTTCTAACATCAGAATGTGTTCTTAGATGGCACGATGAGAACTTTCGAAAAGCTTTATCAATGACTACGGGAGAAACACCTCGTTCAAGGGTAACAGATCTTAAATAATTGAGTTCATTAGCAAGAAGAGATTCTGTGGAACAAACGTTTAGAGCTCGAAATACATAATAGTAAAAAGAAGCCACTTTTTGCTTAGCCGGGTGACTTGACTTAACATGGGGAGGTAAACAAAGAAACGGGTTTACGGTAAACAGATGTACTGAAATTAGATCCATTGCGGATTATATGAATATCAAAGAAGGGAAGTGTATTATCAGAAGTTTGTCAATTTGCCTGTTTTGTTTTTTACGTCGGCGTGTGTCTCTTGCGTCTTGAACCAAGAGTATGCTTGCATGAGTAGAGCTGATTTGTAGCATGGGGATTGTGAGGTGTTCCCGGGCTAATTCATTGACCACTTGCAACTGGGAGCTGTTAGGTGGATGGTCTACGTTTTTTGCCTTGATAATGATTGTTTGTTCTGACAACTTTACTTCAAGTAAAGCTTTTCTTCCTACTTGTTGCAAGGTGAATGGCGTCTCATCATTTTTACAATATGGAAGTTTGATGTCTAAGCTCCGAGGCGTTCTAGTATTCCAGGTAGAAACTAAGTATTTTCAAGTCGTATTATATGGCTCAATGAGACTTTCTCTGCTGATTGTAAAAGTGGTAGTGGAATAACATATTCTAAATTTGCACTGGCTGAACGTTGAAAATTTGCCTTTTCTGAACAAGCTGAGTTCTTTTAAGTCTCCCTCTTGCCTTGCTATTGTTATCTCTCGCTAGTTGAGGATAACTCGAATTTCGACAAAGAAATTTCTGACAATTGCCGAATCTTGCTTGTCTGTGTTTTGTTCCATATACTCAAGAATATTATCTGTTAGGCTGTTCACTTTTCCAGTAGGTGGGATTGTTCGTTTCTTCGGCTTGCTGATCATCAGAGTCTCTTATTAATACGATGATATTCTCACTAAGCTGTTGTTGTTCCTATGCTAATGTGTTGAGAACCTCCGACGTTACAGAGATGTTATAGTGCTGTATTTCTCCTGTCTTGTTTATATCAATTGATTTAACACTTGATGTTAATAGTTAAATAGGGCTGGCTGATGTTATCAGATCCTTCTGTGCCCATGACTGTAGAGTTAACTGATGGCAAAGCAGCTGTTGCCAAGTTTCCAGTAACTGTCACTCCTTTAATGGCATAAGTATTGAACCAGATTAGCTCTGTCCTTCCAAAATTGGGGAGGTGATATTGGTATTATTTATATCGATTGGCCTTAAATTATTATCCATATTAATATATGTTTGCTTATTTGATACATTTACTTAAGAAATTATAGTTGTTATTTTCGACTGATTACTTGTTAAAAAGGTGGCTTAAGACCGTCTGGAGTATTTATTATTTATCTCTTACTAATTTTGAATCGAAAAAAATCCAATAATTCTAATAAGGAACTGTGGAGTTTAGCATGATTTAAGTTTGATATTTCTACTTCACTGATATTTCAGCTTAGTTTTTATTTGAATTTTTAGATGATCTTTCAGACTTTCTTATTTCTTTCTTATTTTTAACTGACGTCCTTGGTGAAAAATGTCGCATATATACAAAATGTGTGGATTTTATTATGCTTAATTGTTTAGTATATGATTATAAGGTATTTCTTTCACTTTCGTAGCATGCTTTCGTGGTGTAACGGTCAGCACCCTCGGCACGTATTTCGAGAGTATATAAGGTATTTCTCCCGCCTTCTTAGCATGCCTTCATGGTGTAGTGGTCAGCACACTCGGCGCGTGTCGAGAGGTCCGAGGTTCGAGTCCCGGCGACCGAACTGAAAAAAGGCGGTAGATGATGATTCTCCATCACCAGCGGTTGGGTATTAGGGGCTGTTGGGTCCCCTAATACCCAACCGCCTTTTAAAAGCGAGAGTACGTAAGGTATTTCTCCCGCTTTCTTAGCATACTTTAAAGAGTACTAAATTTAAATATACCTGAAGTTGGTTTTCTAACGCTATCGGCATCTCAGTATCTTTAAAAAAAAATCTGTAATAAAAGCGTTAAAAGTAAAATGTCGGAATACTTAAAATTGTACAATGGATTTAAAATATGTGAAAATTTATTATTATTTGTTTTTGTGTACTTCTGTTCATTTTTCTTCATAATCTCAAAAAACTATACAAAGATTACAGTATAAAAATTTCAGGAAACTTCTGTAAAATTTTAATTTTTGTTTTTAGTATTTAGCTTCTTATATATATATATAATTTGAGAGTAATTCTTCCATTGAATAATTTTAGGAACTGGAGGTCTTGCATCTTGGAATGAAAAATGGATTCCTTTCTTAGATTCACTCCTTCTTTTCTCTGGAGTATTAACGCAGAACGAAGCATTCTGTCTACCAACTGCTATTTTGTCCTTTAAAATTAATCCAAATTTTTTTCAAAGAAAAAATCGCTGAAAACAAAGAGAATGGAATCAAAGGTAAGTTCAAATTCAAACTGACACCCTAAGTGAACATAAGAGTTTTAAGCAGGAAACGAAAGTATGTAGCTGAGATATAATACTAGGTATAATTTTAATTCGGAATTTCCAAGTTCGATATTTGATTTAATATATTCTGTATAAAATTCAGCACTGTATACTTTACACAAAGTTGATAGTTAGTTTATTAACATATTTGATTATGTTTAAATTTCGTTATACTTTAGAAACTTCAGAAACCTTTCAAAATATTAAAACGTGTTGATTTTACATCATTCTTAGAATTCAGGAACGAAATCTGAGCGATGTTATTTTGAGTTATAAAATGTATTTATTTATATGCATTATTATACATTTATTTATTTATAAATGTGTTATACGTGGATGTCATAGAAAATGATTAACTTAAAAGTCAACCTAGAAATTTTCTTCACTTATCTTTTATATTTGTTAAGCTTCTTTTGTAAAAACCTCAGTTCTTTGCTTTATGCATTATGATTATGTTTATTTATACATTATGTAATGTTTGTATGATTTTAACAGAATTTTATTTTTATAGCTTACTACTTCGATAAATTGCAGATAGTTCAAAATAAAACCTTATTAACGGCAAAAAGAAAAGGTCAATCAGCTAAAGGCAACATTGAATTTAGTAGCAATAATAATATATATAAAATGAATAAATTACGTAGCAAAGTAGCCAGAACTTAATGCAATAAAGTAACAAATTGGAAGGAAGAATAATATAAAAAAGTAAAGATAAAAGCAAAGTGTTTCATTTATCGTATTATTTCATCAGGGCTTCGATGCCGCGAGAAAATGCAACAGGATAACCATGTTTCTGAATGGCACAATGAAAAATTTAATTAAGCCCTGAAATACTTTAAATAAACAAAAGCAATTAATTGTTCATTAAATGCAATCAAGCCACTGTTTGGCTATAAATGATAGTGAGAGTCTATGCGGACCAAAAAGGTAAACCCAAATAGGAAAAGCACATGGCTGAGTCAAAAGAAAACATCTTTAAAAAATATAAATAAAATGAATAAATTCATATTTTTGGGGAACAAGAATTTATCATTGTAGTACCAAATTCTCTGGCTTTGTTACAGTCGAGGAGGTATACTAAATACTTTTATAACTTTAATTAAACCCAAAAATACTTTAAATAAACAAAAGAAACTACACTGGTTATCATATATTAAGCAAAAATCACAAAAATAGCGATAACTCCCTGAAAAATAAGCCATACCGTGTAAAATTTGAATATGTTGCCAAGAAAGAGTAGCTGAGTAACTGCGATATGCAAATTAGTAGCGCTGCTTTCGGAATAAGTGATCTGCGAGGAGCATAAAAGTCCATGTTGGAGAGCAAGCCCACATATTTCACTGTGACAGTGACATCAGAAATCTGAGATAACCAATTCATAACAATGACCTCCAGACATCATTTGCCTGCAGAACTGCGACGGAGAACCATTGGGAGACTAGAGGCAGGACAAATTCAAACAGAAGTGGCCAGATGGCTAAATGCGAGTTCTTCTGTGGTTCATAGACTTTGGAGGCAATTTCAAACCATAGATTCGGCATCTAGGAGGCTCAGCCAAGGACGGCCAATTGCTACGACAAGTGCCAATGACCGATATATGACATTATGTGCACGCAGGAATAGAACTGCTACTCCGACTCTTCTTAGATCCTCCCTTGCTGCAGCCACCGGAAGGTTGGTGTCAACATCAACTGTGCGTAGAAGACTTCAGGAAGGTGGTCTGTATGTGTGAGGCGACCAGCCATTTGTGTTCCGCTCATGTCACGCCATAGGAGGGACCGTTTCCAGTGGGCACAACAACATGTACACTGGACGCCTGATCAATGGAGGGCGGTTCTCTTTACGGATGAGTCTAGGTTTAGTCTAGAAAGCGATAGTAGGCGTTATTTGATATGGAGAGAACCTGGAACCCGTTATCATCCGTGAAAGAGATGCATACGGAAGGAGCAGTATCTGTGTTTGAGGTGGCATCTCTTTGTGTGGGCGCACAGATCTCCATGTCTTTCCAAGGGGAATCGTGAATGCTCAGATTTATAGAGATGACATCCTTGATGTTTATGTGCGCCCATATGCCGGGGCAATAGGTGATGCTTTCCTGTTACAGGACGGCAACGCAAGACCACACAGGGCTCGATTCGTAGATGATTATCTTCAATAGGAAACAATTATGCGCATGGAGTGACCAGCTCAATCCTCGGACTTGAATCCTGTCGAGCACGTTTGGGATGCTTTAGAGAGACGTCTAGCTGCTTTCAATCCACCCCTCAGACCCTTGTTGCGCTTGCAACTGCTTTGCAAGAGCAATGGCTCTCGCTTCCTATGTAACTAATAGACCGCATAATTGAAAACATCACACATCGCTGTATGTGCTGTATTGCTTCTAGAGGCGATCATATTACATATTGAAGGTACGTTTCCTATAGCAAACTGACACCTTCGATTTTTTTCATTTTATACATGTGCTAATTTCTATACTAGCATATTTATCTGGTAATTTCTTTTTATGTTGTTTGATACCTTACTATGTGTTGTATATTGTGGGTAAGTTTTATTAAATTCTACATGTAACCTTTTCAGTAATCGTGATTTTTGTGATTTTTCCTCAATTTATGATAACCAGTGTAGTTCAGTATTCGTTAATGTAGTCCAACCACTGCTTGGCTATAAATGATAGTGAAAGTTTATTCAGACCAAAAAGGTAAAGCAAAATGGCAAAGCACGTGGCTGAGGTTCAAGCATTCAAGTGATCTTAACCACTCTACTACCAATGGGTTCCCTAAGTAAAGAGAACATCATGGTGTTGATGAAAGAATTCACGTGTTCTTTTGTGATGAGACACAAGTCCGCGTCCCTCTGTACAATATACAGAGGCTGTTCACACATTTTTTAGACGATGCATATTGTATTCACAAAACTAAATTACATAAAATTCTTGTGTTTTAAATGTTCTATTTGACATCTGAACTATCTTTCGATATCGCAATTTCCAGGATAATAATGCCTTTTGAAGTGGCAGAAGAGATATTCTATCCCATTCCTCCGGAACAGCTTTCCAGAGTCCTGTTAGGGTTTTGGGACAGCGTTTGGATAATGCAGTTTTTAAAAGTCCGAAAGCACAAAAATCCATAGGTGACACATCGGGAGATTTAGTAGGGATATCAGTGAAGGGTATGGCCTTGATACTAGTTTTTTGTTCCATTTCTTCTAGGAAATTCCTGATAGTATTTGGAGTTAATCTTGACATTTTTTTGCACTCTCTTTATTTTTAACTTGCCATTATAAGAAAAACCAACAACAATCATGAATCCCTTAGAAAAACTTTCCTTCGATTCTTTGAACCATGTACTTAAAGATTTTCTCCCCATTTATGATAATAAATGGTTACAATCATTTAAATACACCCATGCTTCATCTATTGTGACAATTGTTTTCCATTTTTCTTTGGATAAATGTTTCTCATATAGAATTCTGCAGCGTGTCCTGCATTGAGCGATATACTTTGGAAGAAGACGTTACACATTGCGTTTTTCCGCTTTCTTAAGATTTAAATCAACGTTTATCATTTTGTTTACAGTGGACACCGATCATTTTAATGATTTTGCAACTGTCATTTGACTAGGGGGATTTTCTTTTAACATTAAACAACGTACCTTTGCAATAGTCGAAGATGTCCGTTTTTTCCTTGGATACTTGTTTGGAATTTTTGTCCCACTTGAGGCTCCAATTTAACGTTTTGTTCCTTTCTTGTTGATGATATTACCTATCGATGCTTTAGATATCACAAAACCATGACGCTCAAATAGTTTTTGGATAACGGAGGATTTTGGGATATTTCTCTTCGGAAAGAGCGTAAATGTAGCTTTCGAACCACTGCTTTGTTAAATTCGCCATTTTGAATAAAAACAAAACTTTCAAGCCACAGACGATAATTTTGACTTATAAAAACATAGTACAATTGCAATTACTTCTTTTAAAGCAAACGATTTTTTATTACCGCTTACCAAAATCGTCTAAAAAATGTGCGAACAGCCTCTGTAGCATTGAAACTGCTCAAGCTTAGGTTTTATACTTCGTCTGTTTCAAAACAGAACCCTTAGTGAAACTGAAGTCTCATTATTTATTTATCGCTTTCTTGTGCCAGCCTGGACGATTTTGACTCCATGTCATCCTTCATTTGCTGAGTCAATTTTTATACACCCAAATCTTTTTTACAAAGGAGTTATTGGCGGTGAGAACGTTGAATCGTTTTTCGCTTCGCTTACTTTATCCTGAGATTGTGCTTCTGATGACTGTGTAACTCGATTTAACGACTTGTTAAAAATCGCCCTTTCTGAACAGAATTTATTCGGGTACCTTTACGATTTGTATTGTGCTTGGGAAAACTCACAGCATCTCCAGTTTGGCCGTGTGTTTTCAAGAACTCTTCTTACGCTTCAGAGGCTTATGGCCTTGCCCATACCTGACGCTTCTGAGCAGGTGCTTGCACAATAATTGCGGACGATGGAAACCCTGGCAACGGAAGCAATGAGTGAGCACACGCTGCCTCCTGTAAATCTCAGCCTTAATTTTCAAGTACTTTAAATATTGTAGGTTATAAATTTTCCTGATTTTATTAGTTTTGTGCAGTTTAATTAAAACTAATAGCAAAAGATGTTTTTTCACCAACTAATATCGGTGAAGTTCTCTTACTTCAACGACGGTGAAGCCTTCCGTTGTAAGGGGTCAGTAACGTCTTGAATCAAACGGTATTTCATTATCAGACGGTAGACTGCAAATAATTAACTTCTTTGCGGTATTTATTTTCTGGTAAAGAGTAGGTGTGGCGTCTGACATCCTAAGAAACTAGCAATGCGGCGAGCCTGTTTCATAAACATCGATCAACTTCAACGTATAAACATATCGCTGGAACTATTACACAAAAGTG